GAAACTATAGTAGTTACCCAAGGGACCATGGAGTGGAGGGAGTCTATAAGATCTTGTTGGGGATATACCAGAAAACCTATTTTCGTAGTACCAGGAAGGCTTTTGCCTTCTCACTCTCATTCTCTTGAGCGTACAGTGGAATTTACCAGATGATTGGTGATGTGTGATATAGCAACAAATTATAGGCAGAAACAAATAAAAGCATCCAGTCACCTTATTAATATATTAAGCCAAACATTAAAGATATTTGCAAAAATGTCAAACAATATCATTTTTCTGATTTTGGGGGAAGAAAATTCATTACTTTTCATAAGAAAACCATTATTTATGTTAACGTCTGATATGTTTACCAATTCATTTAAAAATAAATGTTTAAAAGGTTTTTGTTTTAATTTCTAATATGATAAATATAGGTAACTATGCCCCACATAAACAAAAGCTTTTTGTGGTCCTCAGTAGTATTTAAGAAAGTGAAAGGATCCTGAGACCAGTAAGTTTAAGAACTACATTATTGGCTTCCTTTAGGGGTGCTTCCTCAGCCAATCCCTTCAATTTTGAATTTCCCTAGAATGGCATCCTTAGCTCACTAATTTTCTCACCAGAAAGTAGGATTTCTCAACCTTGGCATGACTGACCTGTTGGGCCAGATAATAATGGTGGCTATCCCCTGTGCATCCCTGGCCTATGACTGTATCTGCCAGTAGCACTCCCAACTTAAGTTGTGACAACCAGAAATTGTCACATATTGCCAAAGGAAATAGATATTGCCAAATAGATATTGCCAGATATTGCCAAAGAAAATCACTGCAGGATGGGAACCACTAACCTAAGTATTCTTCTTTGAGATTTCATCTAATATCAAGGTTTTAATTCCACTTATAATAATTATACTTATTGAGTAAATAAGTAAAATTTTACTTATTGAGACTCTGCCAGGCACTATTCCAAGTGCTTGATGTGTATTAATTCACTTAAGCCTTAATAATTTAAGGTGGATAAGTTATTACTCCCATTTTACAAATCAGGAAAATGCAGAATAGAGTGACTGTCTGCGAGTAGTGACTACTCCAGCACTGACGGCTCCTCTGAGTGTTAGACCCCTGTGATTAACTGCCTCTATTGGGCATCCTGGGTGAAATTCACACTCAAGATGACTAAAAACGAGCTTAACAAATCTTCTCTTCATAAGGCCAGCTATTTCAGTATTTCCTAAGTCAGTTAATGGCACAACTTTGACACTTGCCCTCTCTGAGCCTCAGCTTAACCAGAAACCTAGATGCCATTCTAGACTTGGCTTAGATTTTCTTCTTAATACTGAATCCATGCGAGTTCTAACCACTTTATCGTCTAATGATTTGTCAAATACGTCTTTTTCTCTATCCTCCACCATTCCTGTCCTTCTTAGAGTCCTAATCTCTACTCTGAACTCTTGTAATCAACTACCGTTTGATGTTTTTTTTCTTCAGCCCCTCAAAATTATTTTCTACCTTGCTGCCAGAGTAAACTTTTGAAAATGCAAATCTGGCCATGTCACTTTAGTGGCTATTTAGCCAAGAATAAAGTTGGGGTTTCTTAGAATGACCTAAAGGTGTAAAACATGTGGTCCTCCTCAACTTTAATCACGTCCGGTTACCCCCTGAATTGCACTTAACCCTCCTGCAATATTCTGTTTGCTGTTACCTGAGCATACTATGCTGCTTCATGCCTTAGATCCAATGTCACCTTTTGGGAAGCCTTCTTGATTCTAGGCCCTCTGTGTACTTCTGTCACAGCACTTACTTAATACAGTCTGTGAAAACTGTCTCTATATCTGTGTCCCACTCATGTCTGTAAAGCCATTGATGGTAGGTGCCTTGCTGAGTTCAAAAGTCCCATCTTTCTGTCTCCAGAGCCTGGTATAGTACTGGGTTAGGTAGGCTCTAGAGAAGTATTTTAGAAGCATTGAGGTAAAAAAAAAAAAAAAAAGAAATGGCATATGTTTGGATGGGGAGAGGGACAGAAGTGGGGACTGAAGAATGGGGAGAATCTGGAAAACTTTTGTTCAGAAAAAGTCATGACTGAGTTGAATCTAGAAGGAAGAGGCAATACTACACATAAAGGGCATACCAGATAGAACAGTACTTGCAAAGGCCTGGAGGCTCAGGAGAACATGGCAAATTTAAGAAGCTGCAAGTGATTATGACAGAGGGCAGGATGCATGTGTAGGACTTATTGGGCTGGAGACTGCAGAAGCAGGACATGCTACTAAAACATTGCCTGTACTCCTTTTAGGAGAGTTTCAAAATATTTATTTCACTACTGCAATTACTTTATGCATCACACTTTTCAGGCTGCTTCAAAATTTACACTAGTTTAGTTTTGATTGCTTATCCAGCACTTCCTGTGTGACTTCTGATAGGTAACCTAACCTCTCTGTGCCTCAGTTGCCTGAGGTCATTAAAAGAGTACCTACCCTCATAGGGTTGTTGTCATAAATAAATGTGTTAATAGATATAAAGAACATAAAACAGTAGAGGCACACAGAATTGATCAATGGATGTTGTTATTGAATTGATTTGTCATCAGTGAAAATAGTTGCTGAAATTTGAGAGAAGGGAAGAATCTACTGTTGAAATCCACAAGACACAACCCTAAGGTCCAAGAAGGGCATATTTTATAACAAGTAAGTTTATTACCTTGGGAGATACTAGTAGGAATCTATGGTTTTAGGTCCATAATTTCAAGCAATAGTGTAAAATGATTACCAGATTACTTTGGGTAACATATTTACACACATGGATAGTAAGTTTAGCTTAAAAGTATAAACTCAAAGTATAATTTGACCAATTTTTCTCCTAAATGTATATTATCTTATAGTTGCTTACACTGAAATTCATTTCCAATTTTCTTCCTACCAGGTATAGCCATGAAATAATTTTCCTACAGTTACTCCTGTTGAGTTGGCATTTATTCACTTGAAAAAAGTTGGGCCTCATTTGCTCATAAATCATTTCCAAATGGAATTTTAGAAATAGAAGGGTCCTTAGAGATTGTCTAGTTCAACAGTCTAATTTTACAAACAAGAAAACTGAAATACAGAGATCGAGTGACTTGTCCAAGTTTATTTAGCCTCTGAGGGCTCCTACTTGACTTTTGTACAATGCACTCTCAAATATACCTTCTCCCTGTTGCTGTTTCTTCAGTGTGTGAATTGCATGCTGGTTCCCAGGCATTGTTTATTCTGAACAAACGTAAATGACAAAATGTCTTCCTCCAGACTGATAGGTTTCTTATTTACTTGCATATTTTCAGGCTTGGTTAAGTACTTGGTGTTAGATGTTGGGGTAATTTTTGTTAAAAATTCTACCAGTATGCCTAGCGTTTACACCCTTTACCCTGCAAAGCCAAAATCATTAAGTAAAATTGGGCCCTCCTGTGAAATGTTTGACTGTGTGGCTATGACTTTACAGGTGTAACCTAGATGCTGTTTTCAAATTTAAAGGACGAGTAGTACATTTTCTAGGCAAGTATCTAAAGACTAGATAGTCCTTGCTTGAGAGGCTTAGCCTTCCTGTCCTTTTACTGGAGCTACCTATTACAAAGCCTGGCAGCTCACACACCCAGTGGATTGGAGCCGACCTAATCAGGTCTGTTCCAAGGTTAGGCACCTGTTCCCAGTCCATTGGCTGGCCAGTCACCTAAAGTGAGGTTTGGTGTAAAGAGATAGGTTGGTTGAATCAGATTCTTGCTGTTGGGAATATAGCTCAAAATCAGAGAGGATTGAGTAGTTAGGAAAGACACCAAATCTGAAAAAATGCAGAGAGAATCCATAAGATAAAGTAATTAATGATGGTTAGAAATTATAAGGAAGCAGGCCGGGTGTGGTGGCTCACACCTGTAATCCTAGCAATCAGGGAGGCTGAGGTGGGAGGATTGCTTGAGGTCAGGAGTTCTAGAGCAGCCTCAGCAAGAGGGAGACCCCATCTCTACTAAAAAAATACAAAGGAATTAGCCAGACAACTAAAAATAGAAAAAAAAAATATCCTGGCATGGTGGCACATGTCTGTAGTACCAGCTACTCCAGAGGCTGAGGCAGGAGGATTGCTTGAGCCCAAGAGTTTGAGGTTGCTGTGAGCTAGGCTGATGCCACGGCACTCTAGCCCGGGCAACAGAGTGAGACTCTGTCTCAAGAAAATAAGTAAATAAATAAAAACTTACAAGGAAGCAGACACTGTGAAAGCAGAAGCTCTACAGTAGAGAAAAGATATAGAAAAAAAACAACAACAGGGGACTCAAAAGCAAATAGTGCAATGAGGCCATTACGTTAAAAGTGAGTGTGCAATATCAAAGATGTGAAGGTTCAGATTCTCACTGTCCTGCTGTTAAAGTCCCACAAGCGGGATTACTGTCTGGTGAGTCACGATAAACTAACGTTTCAACTCCTGGAATCTTGCCAGACCCTTTTTCCTTTACTGCTACTTGTGTATCCACCCCCAGTCCCCTAAAAAAATGGATTTGATTCTTGCAACCAAAAGAACTACAATAATTAGGACTCTTAGGAAATAAAAGGGAGATACAGAGCGAGCTTTCAGCTTTGTGGCCCTGTGCTACCGACCCGCCACTTCCACTAGCAAGTCTTCCAATTTTCAAGAGAAGTTTTTATATATGCAATACACTGGCTCTAACTTCAACAACTGCAGATTTCCCGTGCATCCTTTTTCACCGCGGAAACACGACACTAATCATGCTCCTAGAGCACGAACGAAAGTATCCATATTGGGAGAAAAAGTCACAAGATGAACACCTTCCCTGATACGATGAAGGGCAAGCAAGGCCCTCTGCTTCTCCCCTTGAGGTTTCAGAGGGCTACACCTGTGGGCAGGTGCACGCTTTTTTGTGGAGAAGCCCGGGTCACAGTCCCGAAGCTGCCAGCACAGAACGGTGGCTCCCCTTTCCCCTGGGGACATTCCGGGGAAGCTGGCGCCCCAGGCCCTCCAGGTCCCCACCACCCGCCGAGTCACCTGTAGTTGTAGGCGCTGAAATGCTTGCTCTCTCTCAGCATCGCCCGGTACAGATCTAACACTTGTGCGCGGCTGGAGGCTGCCATTTTGGAAAGAAAAAAAAAATGGGTCCTCTTCCCGGAGGTCCCCAGTTTAACCCAACCCACAAAACTTCGGCCGATGCAAAAATCACGAACGAAATAAAACGCAGCGGCTCGGCCTTGCTAGGCGGCCGGGCCTCGGCCTAGAGCACTGCTGCGGACAGCAGTGGGCGCCGCTCTGGAGGCGGGCGCAGGCAGGGCTGCGGGCAACTAAGGGGCGGTGCGCAGAGGGAGGCTCCGGCGCAGCAGCCGCTCCGTGAGGCGCGAAGGCGGGGGAGTGAGGGAGCCGGCCGCTTCCACATCCAGGCACGTTCCTCCTCGGAGACCAAGCACTGAGGGCGTGCAGCCCCGCCACAGACTGCCTCAGCGAACCGCTCAGGGTTGTGGCGGAGACATTTGCTTCCCCGGGCGCAGCGCCGCGTCTTACCTCACGGAGACCCGAGGCCGCGTTGCCTGGGTTACCGAACGCGCGCCGCTTTGAAGACCCGCCCTCGTGGCTGCGGCCGCCCTTGGCGCTGCCTGAGAGGCTGTGCGGGATTTCAAGGGTGACTTGACTTCGGCCGGCCCAGTCTGCAGTACAGGGTTTCGCGGCTTTTGCCAGGCTGGGGCACGCAGCTTGAGGAACGTGAGGGTGACGGGTCAGGGTCTCCCTGGTACTCGGGCTCCGCTCTGGGCGACCGGCTTAGGGGCCTCCGGGGCAGGGCCTACTTTCTGTCAAAATGGCAGCGCCCAGCCTGTACGGGAGCCTCTGAGGTGGGAGTGTAATATCCCTGCCGGTAGCACCCAGCGAGTCTGCCTGCCTCACTTCTGACTTTGAAACACCCCGGGTCTAGGTACCTGGCGAGCGGTGGGTGAGTGCCAGCCTCGCTGCAGAGTAGGGGTTCGACGTGGGCGGCTGGGGTGGTAGGTAGGGAGTTTGCACAGGCCATGGATTTTTCCCTTTTGTGGATGTTTTTGCTTTGAAGTAAAAAATCCACATGGTTTTGTAATCGAATAAATACGTACAAAAGGCGGAGCAGCCTGGGTGGTAGACTTGGGTAATTAATTGGGGACCTTTAGGGCTTTAGGTATGCTGCATGAAGCTGAACAAGTTTTTTGTCGTGACTTTTCTCAGAAGACTTCAACTTTTCTGAATCACCTTTGTTAAAGTGGTGGATAAAGTTAGTTCTGATCCTTGAGCATGGGACTAGGCGCAGGGAAGCCTCAGCCAGTTCTAGTTACTGTGTTTGCAAAGCACTTCTCTTATTTTTGAAATCTTGCTTTATATAATCGTTAGGAAGAGCCGCACTTTTCTTCCCCAAACACAATGAGGAGTAACTTTATACATAGAAAACAAGTTTGTATTAACATCTGTCTTGCAAATGTTGGGTCACAGTTGTGTTCTCGTTTTCGTTTATCTGGTTTTGAAACAACGCTTGCTGGATATCGAAGCAACTTCGTATTTTCGGAAACTTTAAGGGCAGGAAACACTTCTGTGACCTTACTGTTCTTTTTTTTTTTTTTTTTGAGACAGCGTGTCACTCTTTTGCTGGCGCTAGAGTGCCATGGCGTCAGCCTAGCTCGCAGCAACCTCAAACTCCTGGGCTCAAGTGATCCTCTTGCCTCAGCCTCCATGGTGGCTGGGACTGTAGGTGCACACCACGATACTCAGCTAATTTTTTTCTATGTTTAGTAGAGACGAGGTCTTGCTCCTGATCAGGCTGGTCCTTAACTCCTGAGCTCAAGCTATTCTCCCTCCTGGGCATCCTAGAGCGCTGGTATTACAGGCATGAGCCAACATGCCTGGCCTTACTGTTCCTCAGTATACTTGCAACCTGGTGTCTGCATCCAAATATACTTACTAGTCATGTTGCAATGGCATATTAAAAAGGGCATTGAAGAGAAAATACTTTTATTGAAATCCCTTTAAGCCCCCTGTCTGATTTCTTTAAATCTTATACATCTGTGAGTTTAAAAATAGACATTTTCGCAGGATGGTAGATCTGTCACTTTTGAGTTGGTCAGGTGATCGGGCAAGTCTAGCCTCAGATGTATTGAAAGCGCTTTTAATATTTTAGTTAGTTGGCATTTCCTAAAGGATCCCAGCCCAAGGGAATCGCACATTGTTACAGAGTAAGATACAGAGCTATTGTCTCTTAATGTGATACCCTGTTGAATGCTGATGATGATACAAGACACTTGGGAAAGCTATTACGTTAAGGCAAGTTACTGATAGAGAAAGCTATTCTATCTATCAGAGTGAGAAGGAAAAACATAAGAATTATTTTGGCTTGTTTAAAAACAGTAGAGATTACATTATTATATTTTGTTTTTGTCTTGAAGGTGAAGTTGGAATAATTACTATGTGTACTTTTTATGCCTAATTATCAAGGAATTTAATCGTTAATGTATATAGTTGATTTATCTAAATGATATAACTTTGTTGTAATCAAATAAGATGTTTCCAAATAAATATGTAAAATTTAAATAGTTTGGGTAGCCTACTCATCTGTTAGGCAATAGCTGAAGTTAGGATAGTGGTAGCTTCCTAGTAATTTGAAGGTAAATCTTCACAAAAATACTTTATTATTTTATTTGAAATGATTTACCAGAGTGCTAGATATCATTGCTTTGAAAGACTAATAAAAAACATATTCCAAAGCTAATTCTCCATTTTTGCACATCTTCATTGCAGAGATAAGTTTTTTGTTTGTTTCTTTTTTGTTTTTAAACAACAATTCTGTTTCAGATTGTGAGTAGAATTGGGCCAGAAGTTGAGACTGGACTTTACTCATATGTCCTTTAATATTCATTCTAATCTGGGCTGAGATTTTTCTTAGGTAATTAAACTAGGGGATATCACATAGGCCTCAAAATGTAAAAATTTCTTTAGTGTTCACTTATCCATAGTAGTTATCAACTGTCTATAGTTCTTTACCTATGTAAAATTATTATATTAAACTTAGGGTTGTCAATGAGCACTTAATGTTTTGTGAAGAGAAATTTCTCTAATCAAAATAAGCTGTATAACAGCAATTTCCTGTCCTTAAGATTACATATCAAAATTATGTGTAAAGTAAATCTCTTATAGAAGACATAACTCATTATTTGCAAATTATTCTATACTCCATACATGGATCTACATATTATGCATATTTTTCATTTATTTTTATTGATCATTGTAATAGAATATGAAGCCAGAAGAGACCTTAGGCATCAACTCACTCATTTGTGTAGATGAGCAAACTAAAGCCCTTTTCCTCCCTCATTCATTCATTCAATATTTATTGAACATTTCATAAATACCATACATTATATAAGATGATAAAATGATAAACGACCCCCACCCCTATGAAACTGGTACGTGACTAGATAAACAAAGCAATAATTTATTTTTGACTGACACTATGATAAGAGTAACATTGCCAAATGCTAGGGGAGTACAGAAGAGGGATGTTCAACCAGCATTTTGACCTAAGGGAAGGCTTTCTGTCCTAGAAGGTGTATCCAGGATGAGTAGTAAGAGCCAGATGAGGAATGTGCTAAATTAGAGTGTATATTCCAAGTATATATTCCAAGGTGTATATTCCAAGCATGGGGCATGAGGGAGTAGGATCTATTTAGGGAACTGTGAGTGTTTTGGAGTGGTGGGAGGTGGGAAGGGAGTGACTTTCTATCAGACCACAGAAGTGATTAGCCAGCTTTATTTTAGTTGTGTTCTCCCTTTTTGGAATTAGTCATTTCTTCTCTTATGCATTGGCTGCGTTATATAAGTCAAGTAGAACTTAACAGCTGAGCTATTGAAATGCAGATTAGTTATCCAGGTATTGATAGGGTTTTGTTTCAAACCGTGATTTTGAATCCTATATTCCAGGAACACTAAAATTTTATTTATTTCTTTATCTGTGTTTTTAACAGATGGTTGACCAGCCTGTTAGTTCAAGTCACTGTTCTTATAATATCTTGAGGGCTATAACTCAAATACAGATTCCGTTTCTAGGAGTTTATAGTTTAAATGCATTTGCACATAATTAGAATATAAGATAGGAAGTATAGAGTACTGCAAGGAAAGGACTGCTGAAGCATTGTGGAGTCTCAATGAAAGCTCTCTTGTGTCCCTGATGCTTGGGCTACACCTCAGACCAACAGCCAACAGGGTTGAAGCCCAGGCCTCAGGGAATTTTTTTTTTTTAATTCCCTAGATGATTGGTTATAGCCAGGGTTGAGAAACATTGATCTGTAGGAATTAAGGGCTTTATCGAGGAGCTAGTGTTTGTGTTGGGCTTGAGAGAATTTAAGTTTGAGCTGGGCTTTGAAAGGAATGAGAGGATTTGGATATGTGGTTGTGGTGGTAAGATGGCTGCTGTAAGAGGAAGATTTACCCTTTATCTTGGAAAGAGTAAAGGAGAGACCTTGAGTGACAGGTAGGGGGAAAAATAATCATGCCTAGAGAACACCTGACAGAGCTCTGGCCAGAGCTGGAGAGTGCATGAGGGTGGGAACAGGGAGATCCAATGGAAAGGTAATATATCAGCTTTCATATATGTTAGGCACGAGATCAGCTGAGTCCTTACGTGCTCTCAGTTAATCCTTCCACAACCTGATGGGAGAGCTCCTTTTCCCATTTAAGGAAAGAGGAGCTGGGAGGTTAGGTTATTTAGCCAGAGTCAGACAGTTAGGAAGCAGCTAGGTGGACTTTGGCTCAGGATGTGATCTGTGTAGCTGTGATGCTATACTGCCTCACAGATGGTCTTCAGTGCTAGCTTCAGGAATTTGGAGTTTATTATTTTTTCTTGGATAACATGGATAAATTTTAGTCATATTTAAATTTTAATTTAGTTGGATTTTCACTTATTTGTAAAGCTAACTGATTTGAATACGAAATATAAATATTCAGGGAATCTCAAATGTTGATTTTTATACTAGCTTTTTAGTCATTTAAGATAAATTTACATTTTTTTCTATTAACATGTCTTTGAAAAGACTTAGTGCCTTTTTTAGGTTGTCTATTTATGTGTGTGTGAGACATTTCCTCTTGGGGGATTCTCTGAGACTCACATTTATATAGAAGTTCTTTTCAAATATACTTATGTAAATCTGTTCTCTGTTTTGAGAAATTTAGAAACCTATGGTATGTTGCAACTAGACAATCTAGCTTCATTGATTGGAGCTAAGGATTCCCTTACTTGTGGGCAATAGCAATAAAATTGACAATTGGTTTTATGTAAAGTATATCAAATGTCACTTAGGTCTAGAGGATTTTTTTTTTTTTTGAACACATTAATTCTTTTTATTGTAAAGAAAAGAAACCTTGTTTCCTACAACAAACTCCCACCAAGGTGGGAATTCTTTCACACTGTGATTTGCAATAAGCAATTACAGATCACTTTAATTCTTTTTCTTCCTACTTATGGGATCACTATTTTAGAAATAATGTTTTTGAATTATCTGGATATTTTAGAATGATTTGCTAATCAGTAGCTATAGGTGATGATAATGATAGTTATTAATTATTTAGAATTTATTTTCTCTTCCAGGAACTTTGCCAGGGATTTTACCAATATCTCATTTTAGTGATTTTTCTAAAAGTCCTGATAGACTTCTTTGGATGGGAATAATAGGTACCATCTCTTGTTTGCTCAGATCACTTGGTTGCTTACAGAAAACACTTAGGATTTTTGGTGTTGACTCTTTGCTTAGAAAAACCAGCCTAGGCCCAGCGAGGTGGCTCAGGCCTGTAATCCTAGCACTCAGGGAGGCTTAGACTGGAGGATTGCTCAAGGTCAGGAGTTCGAAACCAGCCTGAGCAAGAGCGAGACCCTGTCTCTACTAAAAATAGAAAGAAATTAATTGGCCAACTAAAAATATAGAG